AAGGTTTTTTCCTCAAAAACTAACAAATGTTTTAACGCTTCGTTTGTAGTTTTGGTAAATTTTAAATCTGATGATGGCGCTGTTGTCTCGCCAAAACGTAATGAAATAAACGATATTCAAAATTTTTACTTCACGCTTTGACTGAGACCCAGGAAGGATAAGAATATATAATAACAGTAAAAACCGCCAAATCGCCTTTGCCAAGCATTCAAACATAGTCTTGGAATCAGTGGATTCATCTTTTTTAACTAAACAAACGAAAAGTGAAATTTCTTTTCAATAATCTACAAAAATGATTTTAATGTCAGTAATGTAAAAAACTTCTTTCATTTAGTTTAGTCAACCATATCATTTTTAGTTAAAGAGGAAATGTACCTACAGTGCGAAAACACATAGAAGTAAATGGCCTATTGTGAAAATGTAATGAAAATGGGAAATGGGGCTGACAGATTCATTACCCACATTTTCTTAGTTCCTTAGCACATGAAAGCCCATTTGTTTGCCGTCGAAATGGATGGTTTTAATAAAAATAACAACCTGACTTGAAAAACGGAAAATTATTTAAGTTACCTTTGCAACCCTCAAAGAATGTAGGAAATTCCGTTAGTGTGATCAGAACATTTTTACAAAAACCCTGAAGAGACGATAGGAAATTCACCACTTTTTCCATAATTTTTTAAGGAAAAGATTTAGTGGCTCTGCAAGTCTAGAAAGGCATATTCTAGAATGGTAAATTGACTTCTATTTTAAATATGATTTCCTGAATGTTGAAACAGTTTCACAAACACTTTTAGTAAAATAAGCAGTACGTTGAAAATGTCTCCATAATTCGAGGATTCATGAACTGGGAGAACAATGGACATTTTAAATTCGTATGAGATATTCTTCAGGTTTTAGGTAATAAATATTTAATTAAAGATATGTTAATGAACATATTAGGTACATATTACAAATATATTTTATTAAGGTAAGTGTGGTTCCTAAGAGAATCAACGTGCACATTTAATTCGTCAGTTATTCGGTTAAAAACTATTTTCCTTGCAGCTTCTGAAACTTTATTGCTAGCGCTCCAGAGAGCTTGAAAAGTTTGCCACACGCTTGAAGTAGACAAATCTTGGAACGTGAAAAATGAGAGTTATTTGCAGCAATTTGACGCATAACTCGTTGACCTTTTAAAGTTTATAAATTTATTTTTTAACAGCAAGCAACTGCGGTCAATCATATTCAATCACTCATTCATTTCAATGAAAGGTGATCAATTTAAGTCTGTTTCAGATGAAGGTTCAATTTGTTGTTCCTCAAAAACTTTCAAGAATTTAATAGAATTTATTTTTTTGCAGATTCGACACGATGGAGTTCATTGTTTCAATAGCAATCTTGCAGCTGGGGCTGCTGCTGTTTATTGCAGCTGCCCTCCTGCTCTATCTGATTTGCCGGATTCCAAGTGACGAAGATCATGGCCGTTCCGGATCGTCACCAGGAAGCGGTAAAACAGTTTTGGTTACTTCCTGCGATTGCGCCATTGGCCTGCAAGTAAGAATCTACCACTTTTCTATTGCCGAAATTTTACAGAATTTACTGATTTTAGGCAAAAGGGCATTATTTTTGTAGGCTGTTTTGATATTCACTAATTGATATTTTTGCCTCTCTTGTCGCCCTGGTATGTCGGCCACCCAGAACCAACATACTTGCGTTGCTATAACAGCATATACGTTACTCTCGCTCTTATGCATGTAGACGAAGTCTTCCGAACGCCCTCGGTTTATTTCGCTATATTCCTCTCAGTTACGGGTGGCGATCGATAGTTAGCTTAAGTTCACCTTCGTCGATTTCGTTTACTCCAACTATTCCAACAGTTTAATCTAATTAACGTTTTTCTAGTACACAATGTCTGATTTAACGTGTTGTTCTAGTTGGCATTCCATTTGGCAAATAGCGGATTTCGTGTGTTTGCCGGCTTGAAAACTGCGTCGGAAGCCGGATGCCCCGAGGATTCAGTTCCTGCTAAAGCCATCAGAGCCTGGCAAAAATACAGAGAGAGCGAGCAGGAGCTTGGAAACATTACTGTTATACATCTGGACGTGACTAGGGAAGATTTGCTTTATGAGTCTGTGGATGTTATCAGAGCTCACCTGCCTGCAGGCCAAGATGGTAGTTTTTCAGCCATCAAAGGCAGTGACTTTGTCACCTCATGCTTGATGTTCTTGCAGGTATATGGGCAGTAGTTTGCACGAATGGGATCACGTTTAGAGGCTCTTTAGCCCAGCAGGAAATCTCCCATTGGGACACGATTTTGAAAACGAATATTGTGGGCGTTTTGAGGACAGCGAGGACATTTCAGAATCTTTTGAAAAATTCTGGTGGCAGGATCTTGACTATCGGTACCAGCGATAATATGGGAGGTGGTTTAGTGGCATACGCTGCCAGCAGGTGAATTATTAAATTTTGCTTTTAGTTGGTAAAAAATATCCAAGAAAATTTGCAGATATGGAGTAGAAGGAGCCAGCGACGCTTTACGCCAAGAGCTCTCACCGTACGGGATCAAAGTCGTAACTATAAATCCCGTTGGAATAATGCCAGAGCTGCTATTTGCTCAGCCAAAGTTTATAAAGTGAGTATTATTTAACAATTAGCAGCTAGAGAATTAAATTGAAATTATTATACGCTCCAGTTGCAATAACAATGCAAAATAGTTTATTATATTATTTACTTTCAACCATGTGAAACGCCGCATATGTAGGTATTATGCTGTTTAGCACATTTAATCGATTAGGCAACATATCGAGAATTGAAATAGGATAATTGAGTTCAGAAAAATTGAAATGTTTAGGGGTTCATTTGAACAATATTTGACAAAATACAGCATTTATATTGTATTAATGTGACAATTTCCATATGATACTACATATTATATTAAGTTTAAATCTGGAGTGTGTATCCAAAATACATAGTTTTGAATTATTATTTTCTCCAAAATTATCGAAATCGGTGCCAATGTGTGCAGGAGAAGGTACCTGTTTAGTTTGATAAAATTGTGCACAGCATTTCTGGTTTTAACTAGAGTGGAAGTATTTTTTTCAAACTTACGTATTAAGAACCGAAATAAGAAATCAATATTAATTTGTTAGTTATGGAAACAAATTAGCAATTAGTAAAGAAACTATAGGTTTCCATACTGAATTGTTGCATTGGGCGAAAATTGATTCTCCTGAAATGTGAACCATCGAAAATCCAACCAAATAAGAAGAACTGTTTGTCTAAATTGCAGGAATCCTGAAACAGATGACGTGTGTATTACAATCAACGGACTCCTGAATTATCAGCCTCGAGTGCTAACTGAAAGAGCGTTAGATATTTTGGACATTGCGCTCATCGCCAAAGAGCCAAAAAGCCATTACAAGTTGAAGTGCACGTACAAATGGTGGCATAGACTGCCCTTGATGTCTTACATTTAAGCTACTAACCCTACATGAATAAGTATTATTTTAGTTGTTTTATGTTTTGTTAATGTTTTTCTATGATAAAGCACTATGCAAGTATATTAGGTACAAAATATTGGTTTTTGTTTGTTTAATATTTGTTGAGAATCATTAAGTTATTCGAGTGAAAATGCACAATTCCGTTTAAAAAATCGAGCCAAATAAGTAGACAGGGTGACTCTCTCCTGCTTCAAATGCGGCACGTCCAGGCAATAGCAGGAGTCCATTTGCGTCCACTGTGCTGGTCAGGCGGCTACTGATTTGTTTTCCGGTTGATTTGCAAATCAACGTATTTTGCTCGTTTCGAGAAACGATCACCCGCACATACTCAGGCCTAGCGTCGGAACTCCTAATTCCCTCCTCCTATAGACAATTGCTGCAAATTCCATTTAAAAACACTTCAAAGTCCTACCAAAATAGCGTCAACAGTCGGCCATCCAATGAATTGCTGATCATTTTCCAAGTATTTTAATGTGGGAAGCACAAACAAAAGCGTCGTGACAAAACAGGACACTGGATTGCCTGGAAGTGCGAAAACAATCTTGGACTTGCCTTCGAAGTTAAGAGTCGCAAATACGGTCGGTTTCCTACAAGAACCAAGCGGGTGCATTAGCATTTTACACCTGTTTTTGACTGATTGAACCCAACTTTGTGAAAAACGTACCCTGGTTTCATATTTACCCTGCCAAAATGCACTTGGGCGCCGAAATCCTCCACTAAAACTTGCTTTAAGAAGTCGAACTCTCCCATCGACACTCCTCCAGTTGAAATGATAAAATTGTGGGCTTTCAGGGCATTTTCCAGGATGGATTTGGAACTGTTGGGTCTTAAAAATCATCGATTTGTTTAATTAAGAGCAAAGAAAATATTTTTGTATGTGACAATTTAATTTGATTTAAGGAAAGAAGTTGTTTGTATATCGCTCATTTGTGTATTAGACAAAGTGATGATTCTTCGAAAAGTTGCCTATAGAAGTTGATTTTTTATGTTTGAGTGGCTTTTTTCAGTGTTGCGTGTGTCCAGTGTTGAGTGTTTTTTTAGAGCTCGTAAGTTTTTTATTTTCAGTTATCCTTCTTTGCCCTTTACATGAATCCTCACTAACCAATTACCATTTAAGTGAAGTTTTTATGGGTTAAGGAATCGCAAATAAGCGTTTTGTATGAAAGCGATCCTTTTCCTTTTGAATTTAAGAAGACTTTTTTAAAATCATTTTATTTATTAAGGTTATTCAAAAATAATACGTTGTTTTTTAATTCGTCCGCTAAAATGTCACGTGCTAGATTTTTCCTTGGTTCCTTTAAATGTCTCTTCTTTCTTCACTACTACTACTTCCTTTATCGATTTTTTCGTAAATTATAAATTTTTACAATAAAACGATTTAAAAACCGTATTAAAACACTTGTTTTTGTAAAACCAACCAATTGTGTTACCAATTGAAGTAAAAGCTAGTCGATGGAATAAAAAGTTAGAATGTTTTAAACTACATTGTCTATTAAAACTTACGTATCTTTAGCAATTCCACAGTCATCAGCTATATAGCCGAAGCTCTTAAGCAATGTAAGCAACATCACTTTATTGCTATCGTAAATGAGACCTGGTTTTAACGGCCCTTTGAAGCTAACAAGCTCGTTTCCAGTGGAAATTATTCCGATAGCTGGTCGCCTGCAAGTGAAGCGACCGAATTCATTAATGGTCCGTATCTGTTTCTCCGAATAACTTTATCAAGCAGCTGAATAAAAATAAGTACCTAACTAATGTCACATAAATTTAACCAGCAACGAACGAAGATTTAGGACTTACTTTATCACTTTAACTCTGGAAATTCCCAGCATTGCCAGCACTCCAATATAAGCAGGAGTTATTGAGGCGTGCTGCTTCAGAACGACGCTCTGAGCCTGTATGTCGCTTCCAATCGGTCTGAAAAAGGTCAAGTCATGCATATTTTATCTGTGAAAAAACTCACCTAATATCCTGCCCGATTTTTGGCGCCACCAGGATTTCAACCAGATCTTCATCCCCAGTTTCAGATGTTTCCAGCAATTGGGTGTCTTCAACTTGGACAACAGCATCAGCTCCCGCAGGCACTGGCGCCCCAGTCGATATTCTGATTATTTCACCAGGCTGTAACTCTATAAAGCACTTTTAAGAAGTCTTTTTGAGGCGAGTGTCTTTGCTGTTCCATAAAGATGATTACCGATACAAGTTCTAAAGAAAGTCATCAAATTCGATACCTTCAGAGTCAGGAACATCTCCTGCTGCAACCGCAGCTCTAATCCGTCTTCTTCCCATGCCATCTGACTGTCGAACAGCATATCCATCTTTAATTGAAGCCGGAAAAGACGGAATTGGATGCGGTGCTTTGATGTCTTCAGCCAAAATACGAGTAGCTGCATTTTCAATTGCAATTTCTTCACTCTCTTCAATTGGGGCTACTTGATGACGAATTAAATCTAGGGCCGTGTCCACTTCCAGCATGGGAAATGGGGATTTTCGCTTCAGGAACCCGCCGGAGCCGAGTTTTACCTAAGCATTAATTTTTGCATTAATTGACCACACTTCACGGGCTTTTCCGAGTTCAAGAAATGAGCAGAGAGACAATTCCCAGAGCAAGAATTTGAGAACACACGCAAAGCCTTCTTTATGAGCGCAAATCGTTGGATTTAACTACTCGCTTTCACCATTAAGATGATTAAACTAACTCGTTGAAGCTGCAAATTGCTGCTGATAATTAGAGTCTGATAAATTACCTTACTTTCCTGCTGAATTCGCTGATGCTCCCATTTAACATTGTCGGTCTGCTCGTTGAGAAGGGCCACAGCATGCAGGATGGATGTTTTTATGAAACCGAAACATTCCACCGCTGCTTTGGCACTGCCCGGAAAATTTACGATTATGGTCCGATTTTTGATGCCGCAAGCTGGTCGGGATAACATTGCCATATCGGTTATGGCTGCAATGTGAAGGACAATAGTAAATAACTGGAAATAATTCAATTTTTTGTTTTCAGTTCCGTTATGGTTCCATATTTGCTTGAACTGGCTGAAATCGCAGATATGAACACATGAAGACATCGTTTTAAGCTGGAGTTAAAAGCGGTTGAATTTCGGGTCTGCCTGTATTCGAGAAAAAATTAAGTTTATACGAGCTTGAGTTGCAGCAGAAAACGTGACAGTTTATATTGGTTCAAAGGATAGCGATAGACGGTGATTCCAACAGTTTTTCTCCGAGTTATTAGCAGGCAAGTAGGTATCTGGATGCGCCATTTATAAATTAAACTCAGCTGACCAAAAAAATTGGTGATTTAAAAATGAATACGATTGAGAAAATCAATACAGTTAAAATCGATTTTTGAAATGCTAGCTACACGGGAATTCGAAACACACTGTATCAAGGAGGAAAGTAGTCGTGAGCCCCCATAAAGTTTGAACCGACATATTTTTTTAAGTACAAGTTCACCTCATAGGTTGGTCTTGATTTATATCATTTGCTTTTTTCTGTTCTTCGATTCTTCCTTTATTTTTATTTTCTGTGCTTTATCCTTTTCTCCCTGTTGCCATGTTACTCTCAGCTTCGTCCAGCAAAATGAGGGGTAACATACAGGGTGGTTTTTTAGTGCGATAGAGTCCATTATTTCCGTTGGTGTTGAACTTTTGAAAAATAGTATCACATAAAAGTTGTTGACGCACAAAGTGCGCACATTTTAAAAATATCTTGTACGATACAGAGTGTCTCAGAAAAGTGAGGCAAGGTCAAAGTGTATTTTTTTAAATAGAACTACCCATTTTCCGTTGGCTCATGGAATGTAGCTTGAAACACTGCATATGCACCGTAAATTGTTTTTTTCTCACTTGCGACGTTGGCAGATTATCGCCATTTTAGTCAAATTTTGCTTAAAAACATGGTATCTAACAATCCCGTGTAGAAGCAAAAAAAAGCAGTTAAAGATTCAAAAAAATACGCGTTTCCAATCACCACAGTTCCGCTAAGAATTCTATTGAACCAAAATATCAATACATTGTACATGATGTTAACAATGCGGACTTTTTAACGCAATATAACTCTTGTTTTTCAAGTGGAAGTACCTGTAATACGTCATTAGATAGGCAATTTACAAAGGTACAAATTTGCATTTACACTTTAAGCTGTGAAATCAACCGTTTTCAAATTATAAATTATTTTATTTAAAAATTTCAAAAAGTTGTTACATTTTGTAAGGTGGCTATAGAATTCATTAAATAATTGTCAAAATTTGATGACACTTGACATACTTAATCAATAAAGAAGTGCAACGTTTTATAAAATGCATGGAATTTCATAGCAGAAAATGCAATAAACTGCATACGTCTATAAAAATAAAAATATAAAATTATACCTACAGTAATATTTTAAAATAAAT